AGTAAATAAATAAAATTTGTTATTTGTTATAAACTAATGGTGAATCTCAATGAAACTTTGCATAAGTCATGTTTAGTACTTAATATATTTATATAAAAACATTTAAATTTTTCTTATTATTTTAACAATTTTTGTTTATAACAATAAAACTAATAACAAATAAAATAAATAACTTATAAAATGTGTTGCTCAATAAAACCAGAATGTTATGAACACAACTTTCACACGTATGTAGTTTGTTTAAAGCGAAAATATTAATATATGTGTTTTATGCCCTCACAACCTCCTTAAATGGTTACCCCCTCGGGCTGACGTGTCGCTGCATTGTATTGTAATCTTTAATTTCTTTGTGATAAGGATGATAACGTTTATCGCTTGGAAGAATTATGTGCCGCATCATATTTCGTGGAAATCGACTATAAACAAAATTTGTTGTTAACAACTGTCGTAGTGAATTGAAAATTTTAGAACATTGAAAATCGATGTCAATTAAGCGTTCGGCGAAACTGAAGCGTGTCTCTTCTGATTAACCCAATTGGTGATTAATTCAATCGGCATTATATTGCCTTCCGCAAATTTTCTAAAATTAGATAATTCACCGATCCTAATCTAATCTCCCATTTCATCTATTGGCTCATCTCGTTTCATTTTATCGATAAAAATCATCCACGTAACAAGATGGTACTTGATGCAATATATATTTAATCATCAATTAAGTTAATTGGTGATTAATAGGATCTCTGCAAAGTTATTTGCAAAATTTCTGGCTACAATTTATTGTTCCCAATATAATCTTTCTTTTTATTACTAAATCAGAAATTAATAATTCTATCCGCACATTAACAATATAAAATTACGAATATATTTGATAATAAATTATTATTGATTAAATTAACAAGCGAAATTAATTCGATCACTAAAATTACTCGCAATAAAATTTCTGTGTAATACTCATTGTTTTTAGTCTAATATTTCTTTCTGTGTAAAATAGAGACCAAAGATTAATAACTTTGTCGAGCAATAAATAATTTAACTCTCCGCGTTAATATTACAAATGCTATTTATTGATCTTTTTTCCTTTTAATGACACCCGATCTCCTTCATCGATTAGTTTCGTCAAAAACTTCGAAACATTTTTCTATATCTGCATTTTGCGACTTCTCTACATACAACTTATTGATAAAACATAAATGCTACTCGATAGTTATATCGTTAGATCGGCGATTAACTTGTCAACGGAGATAAGAGTGACAGCTCGCATCGGATAATTCGTCTATTTTTGTTACACTGTAAGGTAGATTAGCACGAAATTACAATGTGAACCAACTGACAATGAATTTCACAATGGATTCGAGCGTTCCTACGAATGAAAGGCATATCAGTTAAGTGGACAATATGATGCATCGCCTTTAGACGAGAAATAAACGCTGAGTCACGTTATTGAATTCTCTCTTCCCGCTATCAATTTACTAAAAGTTTTAGTACAAGAATATAAATACGATTGAATGGAAATAATTTTGAATTTAGGAAACTTTCATCAAGAAACACGATAGTGTTCTCTGCTTTTCGCGCCAAATTGTAATAATAATTCGTAATATTGCGTAAAGAGAAACATCTGTACAATGCTGATATTCCTCTTAATATAAAAAATTGTTAAATATTATATAAGTAAAATGGAACACAATTATTTTCTTACGAACATGTATATAATTCATTACTTGAAGGCAACCGTACAGATAACAAAAACAAATGAATCATTGATTAATTATCAAGCCGTATGACAAGTCATCTTACAGTTCCGCGTAAAACAGAAGAGAATTGTAATTGGAGATATTTTTAATTCAGATAAATCATATGTATATATACCGAGTAGCTATTTCGCTCTATTGCGCAAGAAGTATAAATCAATCAAAATCTTAGAATTAAATATTTGGTTTTTAGACGTTAACAATTTCAGACATCTATCGCGATCTGTTAAATTTAATTATCTGGTACATACATGTGTATACAAAGAGTTTTATATATAAAATATAAGCATACATAATAATTAAATAAAATGTATTTTTCTGTACTATTTTATATACATATAGCAAAGTATGGTGATGGTGGCATAAAGAGTTGCTACCCTCTGTGCCAAAGATTCAGATTCAAATCCGTATACATATGTTAGATTTTATTTGAGCGTTACCTCTCGGAAAGCAATGGCAAAAATATCTTTACTACAACCTATTGACAACCTCATCAATGGATATGCAGAAGAGGGCATTACATCTTTGAAGAAAAACGGACTTGAGAAACGGACTTATTTTCAATTATACGTAATTTAGATTTATTTACACCATTATTTACAATAGTAATTTTACAAGTAGTAATATATAAAACTTCTTTTGCTTAATATATATATTAAAAATCATATAACAAAAATACATTCTTCTGAAACGTTTACTTATATTAATTTTCTACTTTTTAATAAGTGACTTTCTTTGTATCAGAAAATCATAATTTGTTAGTTAAATATAATATATTTTAAAGCTTTCTTATCTATTATATCTATTGTAGCTATTTTTAGAATTTTAGAGTTGTGTACAGAGTCACCGGGAACTAGAATCATCAAAAACTTTGTATTGAAATCTCTCAAAGTATTTATTTTAGAAAATCTAATTTCTGTACATATATATATATATATATATATATATATAGAACATTTTGAGAAGCACAAACTTCAATCAAAATCCAAGAGAAACTAAAAACGATTTGAAAATGTAAATAAAGTTTCCTTCGAATTATTTCTTTCTTACTGTATTCTTCCAAATATTTTATGTTAAACTTGTAAGAAGCGATACCTGATATAATGTTATTTAATTATTACATTAAAATTGTTCTTTAATTTCACATTTTATTCGGATATATTTTGTGTCATTAAGGATTATTATGTAGTTCATTTTTTATTCAAGGAATCTGAATTAAGTACGGAAAAATAAAGAACTGTTGTTATGTGTGTAATGAACTGTACAGTGAGTATATCTTTCAATAAGAAATAGTTAAAAATAGAAAATCACTCTACTTTTTACTAAGAATTTGTAAGTAATAATCGAAAAAGGGTTTGCTTACATTTTCTAAAGTTATCCTTTCTCAGCTATTTTAATAAGAAGATAATAACTTTAGCTTCAAGATATATAACATGAGATGTAAAAATCATCCTTTAAAAAATTTGTTTTTCTCTGTTATAGCAACAAAGAAATTAGGCTACTGAACTTAAGTTTATAGACATTCTTGAAAATTTCTATTTGACTTGATAAGTTTGTGTGCTGCTGAATAAAAGTGTCAATAACTCTGGATCGGTTAAATTTCTCTTATATTTTTGTACTATCTCTTGAATTTTTAGACGTCTTCGTACATGCGGTGGATGATAACTGAAACATAAATATATGCGTTTACACATCTAAAATAAAAAGCGCACATAATATTTCAATATAAACACGATATAATTAATCAGATACAAAAATATTGTAATTAAAAATGACCTTTTTTATTATTCATTTTATTACCTGTCATTATCGAGCCTTTTTCTACGTCCCATATTAAGAGTCGTTTGTCTAACCAGAGTCCCCAAAACTCTTCTTGACACTACCATGCCGTCGATTAAAGGCGTTGCTAAATTGATTCTAGAAACCGGCCCCTGCAATCTGACTCGCATCAATCCGTTAGCAAGAGCTTGAAGAAAGATAACGTGCACATCGGTTGCTTGCAGCATCCTCGATTGTTCCAGTCCGGTATAAGTGGAAGGTAACAGATCGCCTATAATCCAATAAGATCGTTTAATTTAATATAGAGAAAATACATACAAGATAACGCCGCGCGGCAATAAATATACAATAAAAAGTTCTAATTAATTAATGCAACTTTCGGGATGTTTATCGAAAGAAGAGCGAACAAACCAATCGGGAACTGGATATGATCCTCCAGACTTTCCAACCACACGACCATGATCTTTGTATTAGTTTGAGATGGCACAGCTTGCTTCATTGTCCTCCTGGGCCTAATGGGATCTGCACTCGAAGAATTCGTCGGACCTGTTCCCGGTAAGCTCGACGGTTGTTTCTCCAGGTCGAGCGACATCGTTCTAGAATTCTGTGTTGTGTTTTGCGATGTTCCGCTGCTGCGAGTATCCGTGCTTTCACTGATGCTTCGTTCAAACCACACTGCAATAAAACATGTAAACTGTGCTTTTAAGAAGTAAACTATATCCCCCCCCCCCCTTTGTAATATACATAATAATTTAAATCAAATATATAATAGAAAAGTAATTAAAAAAGGACATATATTTCCAAATTTGTGTTTTTTATTAGCATTCTCTTGAAAATTTACCTTGTCCACTGGTGCTGATATCGCTGTTGTAACTACTCTCCTCCAACGAATCCGAACTGGCCATAAGATACGATTGCGTAGGTACAACAAACGCAATTTCCGAACTCACGTCTGCCCAATACAGCACGTGAGTGTCACCGTTGTAAAGTGCCCCGCCGTGATTGCTGTGAGCTGGCTGTGGCACGTTCATTTGCGCTGTTACTCTCCATGAAGTCGATACATGACCCGTCCAACCTGCATGAGCGGATACGGAAACGGGCCAACCGAGAGAGCTTAAGAATTCCAAGAAGTTTGGCGACACATTCTCGTCATGCAGCTGTGAACACAAGATGTATAACATGATGTCACCTTTTTTTGAAAAAAATTTACAACACAGGATAAATAATGATGATAGCATATATTCTAAAATTCTAAACCATGATAAATTAAAAGAAAAAACCAATATCTTACCACGTTTGATAATATTTCGGAGGCAGACTTTTGACCTGCTTTTACATAGAAGATATGAACAGTGTCACACGTTCGCGGACTAATATTGTCCAAAGTCTCCAACTCCGTACAGAATCCAGGGATGGTTGGATCTAGTGCGATTAGCCCGCTATTTCTGGATTCATCATTCTCCTTAGGCTCCATATTTAAGAAACCAAAATGGCTCAAGAACAAACGAGCCGTTTGGAATTCGTGACAAACCTGGGGTGGTACACATTCGTCAGTTTTGTCTTCTGCAGCTTTTACATTACCGTTATCGTGCTTCGACTCGAGCGTTATCTGACGTTCTAAGAGCTGCGCAAGGATCTGATGCTCGTCTCTCACCGCGTCATTATCACTCATAACTGCCTCGAGACTTGGTATCGATTCATCCCTGTCATGAAGATTAAATATCACTTGGATTAGAATGCTGTGTAAAACGCGATTCTAGATGTATTAGGACATTCGCAATTAATTTAAATAATTTCATGAACATCATATAATCAAAATTTTATCATTTGTACTTCAATAATTTCACATTTCAGTGTTCCAGTAATAATTTTATATATTCTAATTTTTATTTCATTTTAATTATTCAAATCTAAATATGTATATATAGCTTTAAGTTAAACTGAATCAAGTTCTTGGTTTAAGATCTATAGGCATTCACTTACACTTTACAGTGAGGAATACGATCAACATTATCTGGGAAGAATCTTGGTTTATAATCCGTTCGCGGTGCGGCTTCAGCCAACGGCAGGGGTCGTCCGGGATTGCTGTTTATACTTCTGATGCTGGATCGATGGCGCGGTAAATGACGGAGCTGCATCGTCCACGCGTGTCTACCGAACGGCCCGCGGATTAAAACCGTCACGGTCGGCTGAGGATCCTGATCGTTTCCCAATGGTTCCTCTAACAGCGCTAACACAATCGCGTTTTCAGACACAAAGTAACGAAATCTTTCGACGGCCGCTTGTCGTGCCACACGTCCGCCAGTCCAGCTGTTGCAGTGCCGAAGCAGAGATACCTCATCCAACAATGACGAGAGCGATTGTGCTCCGCAGGCGCTTGGAAAATAGCCAACCTACGAAGAGAAAAACAGTTATAAATTCGACAAAATTAAGAAAAAGTAACTTCTGCGATTCCAGATTGAAAGTTCTTAAGAACCGTTGAAATTGTAGATAAAAAATTTTAATATAAACCTCTAGAGATTCAAATATTGTAATTTAAAAAATCTTGGATTGCTGCACACTCTTGTTTTATATATATATATATATTTTTTTTTTGTATTTCGGAGAACAAACCTGTTCCAACAGAATAGTAAGAAGAGCATCAGCGGCGTCTCTTACGCGCATGGACGCGGGTTTTAGCTCTTTTTCGTCTTTCATTTTGATGGGTTCTCCCGGCTTTCCGACGCTTTTAGTGCCGGACACTCCGAGCTCAACGACTTCTAATACTGTGGTCAAGCAATCTTTGTCCTTCAGTAAAAAAAAAAAAAAATCAATGTATGCATATACAGAATTTCAATTAAAATTATACAATTTTGTAGTAAATTAACTTTAAAAATTTATCACCTGTAACAATTGCGGATGAGCGGTCAGCCAAGTTGTCAGGCAACTGAATGCCGCAACAATAGACGAATGAAGGTCCTTGGAGTGCGCGGGAGGTGGTCGCCAACATTGATACGAAATGTAATCGCACAACCATTTTACCGCTCTCTTGCATTCTAGAGCATCTGCAACATACATAGCATTATCGATGCGCACTTGTTTCACGAACGTTCAACGTTAAAACTGACAATTTCTATCTGACAGCAATATCGAACCTGTGAGTCTCCTTGCTGCATGCAGAATGATTTGAAATAAAATGCAGATAAGTATATATTTCTTACATATAAAAATATATGTACATAGCAAAATTTAAATCTTAATACGTCCAAATTACATTCATATTACTACCTGTTTCACGAATGCGTGTACGTGCTAATCCCGACAACATCTCGAGTGCTGCTAGAGAAATATTCAAGTCGGTCTTCCACGATGAAATCAAACGGTGACACACCAGGTATGTTGCTCGCACAAAAAGAGCGTGGGCAGAATCTACAAAAATGTTCTCTTATTTAACCCTTGGTCTATAAGAAATAATATTACCGACCTGTGTTTTGTACAAATAAATACATATATAATAAAATTGATATATAACAAATGCTAAGTGCGTATATACATATATATATGTATAAAAAGAAAAAGAGAGAAAGAAAGGAAAAAGGAAGAGAGAACAAGTAAATTTTTTCTTGAATTATAAACGTAACGATAAAAACATAGTAAACGATAAGCATAAGAAATGAAATTCGCATTCTACGAATGTTTTCGAATGCGATTTTTATGAAAATGTATGTAGCAAGATAAAACAGTATATGTGTATTTACCGAACGCAATGCATTCCTCTTGAAGAGTTGCAATGTCAGAGGCATCACCAATTGATCGCTGATCACTGGATATACTTATTTGACTGGCCGAATCGCTGGTGACTATATTAAGCGATGATAAGACAGTACAATGGCGAAACGCACAACAGAACACAACTCGTAATAACAATAAAAAATTAACATTTCATATATAAGCACGTGTAAAGCTGATACGATGAGAGGTGATATTAAGCATTATAATCCAAATATTTGCGTCCTTATAACTAACTCCCATTCATGAAGCTATCGATAAATATTAATAAAAAGTCGCTGTATTAAATGAAGTAACAGTATACTGGACCATTGCTATTTTACTGGCATCACAGAGAAACTAGTCATGATCATAGGCAGCTTATGGAGAGAAGTTTGACTTCTTGTGAAATGAGCGAGATTAATTATTAAATTTATTATTTTACACACACATAAAAGCATTCTTTACCATATTATTTTTTTATAAAATGGCAATAAAACAATGTTTTATGCTGTTTCATCATGTAAAATATATAAAAAATAATGCCTATGATCATAAGATCATTTATAAAATTTGAACACACAAACAGGAGTTATTACTAAGTAACTCAGAACAGTGCACTTAGCCGAATGCAAGCTGATATCGTTTATTAGTATCAATGACGAACCTGAAGATAACAAATTAGTTGTTGAATCACTAGCTACGGTATCGGGTTGTGTGACTTGCTCTACTTCTTCCGCTGCTGCGGAATCTTGTACACTCAGTAACAAAGCTCCTGAAAACAATTATTTTTACATAACAGATTATTCTTACATTTATTTCCATCTATGTAAAACTATATTTTGCCTATTCATAAATTCAATTTTCTACTTTTCAATGGAATGTTGATTTTGTTGAGAACTTTTGAGAAATTTTTATTTAACAGAAAATTAACTTTCTCAAAAAAATGAAAATTTCGATCAAGAATAATGTTGAGAATTCAGTAACAAATATATATTGTTAAGCAAAAGTTAAATCACCAGCAATCGATAGCAATCTTTCGATTTTATTAACTTACCCAACAGCATGTGCGTATTTTGAGGATCAGTCTCCACTTGTAAAGCGTTTATGAGTAAATTCATGAGTCTTGATTTTAACTGTACAAATGTTATGGGACTTTTCTCGGAGAAAAAGCACTTTGTGCCTGGGATTACCGGAAGCTCCTTAATAGCGAGATTCTGTAATTTTTATATATCTTTCTTCAATTACATGATTACCGTTCATATCGCGTATTGAATTACAACGACGCGATTTATTAAATATTAATAAATTTTGCCAAAACAGAATTCAGAAGAGAGATTATTACACTTTCATGCATATGTTTTCACCTGAAAATGCAAAGGCAGCGTTAACATCGATATTAGCAAATGTATCGAGGCCCTTCTCAAGTCTGGTTTTGATACTACATTAGATTTCAGCTTCAAATCTTTCTCTGGTAAAACCACCTCCAGAGCGGATAACACGGCTGGCACCAAGACTTGTATACCGTTCAAATCGAGGCGGAACAGATCAGCCGAATTCAACAGAATACTCGCCAATGTTTCACCACATTCGCGAGACTGAAAATAAATTAAGTGCATGTTACACCTATCTCTCTCTAGGTTCATCAAGACATATGAATTACAATCGATACCTCGTCGACTTTGAGGCCGTGATACATCGCCTGATAAA